CGGGGTGGAGGAGCTGTTTCCCGATGGGAGATGTCTGCACAAGCAAAAAGAGGGGAGTGAGTCATGAGCACGTAGAAAATCTCATAAACAAAATAATAGACCCAAAATAATCGGCGTACTTGTCGTTCTTCATTCCAAATGGCATAACAAGCCATCATACTCGAGACCGACATCTCTCTGCCAAGATCCCTTGAAGATGAGTAAGTCAACCTTGTAGCCCTTGTCCGAGTTAGGAAGGTGAGTTACGAGGTACATGGATGGGTCCCTGGCTTTGAGGTAGAAGTGTTGTTGAGGCGTAACTCTCAAGAGGGAATAACAAAAAAGTATATCGTTCAGCCCGACGTTTACCCCAAGACGTCTATTGAGCTCTAGGACCCCCATAATTATCCTAAAAACATTAAGGCAACACTGCCCAGGAAAGAGGCGCAAATGAGAGAGGAACTGGAGAAGCAGAGGGAGCAAAGGGAACCTAATTCCACCTTCTATGATGACTTTGATAAAAAAAGGCATTGCGTCCTCGGTACCGAGGGTGCACAGCCAGGTCATAATTCTCTATGTCTACATTCGGGGGAACGCTGTATTTAACCCTAAATCTATTAATTTGTTCACCGCCTTTTACTTTATACTTCCCTGACCTCGAAGTACTGGCCTGAAGGTTCTCGGGGGCAGGGCAACGACGAGGCATCTTCAAAAAGTGATAAAAAATAGAGGGGGTCTTTTCCACGAAGATCCCCAAAAAGGCTTCCCGGGGATTGGTCGCTGAAGGGCAACCAGAAAACACCTCCGGTGATCGAAAAACCAAAAGAGACATAAGGGTAAAGAAAGGGAAGATACTGGGACTCACCAGAGTGTAAAAAGAGATTTTTTCTGGAAAACTTGAATCGACTCCTTCCAAGAATGTTCAGAAGCAAGGATGAGTTTGCTGGCTTTAAAGCTTCAGTAAAAAGGTTGGGCAGTTTACAAACGGAAGGAAAGAGGTCTCCGGCGAAGATTCAAGCAAGGGCTCTCTATGAAGAAAAGTTCAGAACGATGAAATGAGAAAAGAAGAGAGAAAACCCCTTTATATATAGCACCTATCCCATCATTGGGTGCGAAGCACGAAACGGCGCATTTAATGCGCATGACATCCTAAGCAGGAAAAACAGCTAGGGGCAATGATGAAGCAGTTGAGGTTGTTGCAAAATCCTTCGTCTCCTTACAACGCGTGTCCTCAGTGTCAGAAGATCGAAAGCTAGGGGGGCAGTTGATGGGATATTTTTGGAATACTCCAAGATGAAGACACGTGTCCTCGGTGTCACTGATCCTTATTATCGAGATCACGTACCCATCGGGTCACAAGTCTCCCTCTCCCCCCGAGGTGCTGATCATGGGGATCGAGTGGCATCCAGTACGTTTTTATGTACCGACACGTTTCCTCGGTCTGATATGGTACATTGGTCGCTAGGCTCTTCCCTCGGCTCCGAGATGTACCTCTTCCTCGGTACCGAGATGTACCCCCTCGTCCAGGATACCGTTCTCTACTCCAGCAGAGGCTATTGATGTACAGGTCACTAGCCTAGGCTAGGTTAGCTATCATGACCTCGTCTTACACAATTGGTGTCAGAAGGCACAGGAAGGCAGGGGCCACAGCCAATAGGGAATGGACACGTGGCATATTGTGTCACATCCGAGACAGAAAGACCGCATGCCCTTGCTGACACACGACTTGGGAAAGTAAGTATTTAATTATGTCATTCCCTTGATGAGACTGCATTCAATGCGGTAAGGCTCGGAATTGAAAGACAATAAATGTCTCTAAGGCTAGGCATTTATTACGTCCTCCCCGAGAGGAGCTCATTGAACAGTCGGCAGCCCGATGACACAGTATTGATTGCTCAGGATCCCGAGCAGTTAAAAGAGAAGACATTCCTCATCAGAATTAGTGCGCACACTGCCTGTACCTAATGATCACCTACTGACTACACTGACAGCAATCATGAGTTTTTGAGGTATAAATACTCCTCGCAAAAGGCAAGACGGTATGCAACAAAAAACCTTTGCTATAATACATACTCAGTGTTTTCTTCTTCCTCTCTCTCAAAAAGACTGACTTGATCGTCGGAGGGAATACGCCGAAAAACACTCCGGCGCTCTTCTAACTCGTTCTTCTTTGTTCCAGGAACTTTTCTTCAGCCTTACTAGATCGTTCCTTTGATCCACGAGGGTCTCCCATTACCGTTCCAGGTTACCACAGATCTCACAGGCTGTTCCAAACAGCGTGGTTGACCACTCCATTGATTCACTCGAGTTCACTAAGGGAGAGATCTGTTCTCGTTTTTATATTATGCAAGATCCAGCACGCACATAACTCTTGCAGCTGAGTATGCCAAGCTGCCACTAATTCAACCATATCTCCCGCAGCCTGCTGGTGATCAAGAATTTGTTTATGGGGCAAACTTTGCATCCGGCGGAGCTGGTGCTTTAGCTGAAACTTTTCCAGGAAGGGTCAGTGTTCAGTATTATCCAGTGCAAAAGCATTAATGCAACTATACTATATATTTCTGAGATTAATTTTCATATGAAAAAACATATTTCACTAAGCTATATATTAGACATATTTTCAGACAGTGTTGTGCATCCTTTTGTAGGTGATTGACCTTAAAACCCAGCTGAGCTATTTCAAAATCGTAGTGAAGCAACTGAGGCAAAATCTAGGGGACGGGGAAGCAAAGCAACTGTTGTCGAATGCCGTATACTTGTTTAGCATAGGGAGCAACGATTATGGAAGGCCCTTATTGACAAACTCCTGCTTCTTTCATTCAAATTCACAAGATGAATACGTCAAGATTGTAATCAGTAACTTAACAGCTGTGATCAAGGTAATGACACTGTCTCTCTTTTCCTAGCAAACCCTAGCCTCCACCCCCCCAATCTTTGTCGTTTGCATTCCTAACCGGTCTAATTCTGCTTACTATTAATTTTCTAAAGAGGACATTTATATGAAGAGAGGGCGGAAATTCGGGTTTCTTAGCTTGGGGCCTTTGGGTTGTTTGCCAGGATTTAGAGCACTCGAGCCTGAAAATAATGGTGAATGCATGACAGAAATCACACCTTTAGTGAAACAACACAACAAGGCACTTTCCAAAAACCTCAGAAACTTAGAGAAACAATTGAAAGGGTTCATGTATTCTAATTTCAATTTCTACACTGCGTGGAGTGAAAGAATAAATAATCCATCAAAATATGGTAAGTCAAGGTTATCTTTTAAAATGTCCGGTCATGTCATTTTCTAATTTTGTCATTTCCCCCATATAAATGGGTTCTACCGTATTCATACATGTTTGTAATTGTCATGTAAAGGTTTCAAGGAAGGCAAGACAGCGTGCTGTGGCACTGGTCCTTAACGTGGAATTTCAAGTTGTGGAGGAAAGAGAGGACTAACAGAGTTTGAGTTATGCAAGAATGCGAGTGAGTATATGTTCTTTGACTCAACTCATCCTACTGAAATGGCCAACCAGCAATTCGCAGAGCTAATGTGGAGTGGCATTCCCAACGTCATTGGGCCTTACAATCTTAAATCACTCTTTGAACGGACACACTAGCGGACATCATAGCCACATGATATGTTGCTGATAGTTTGCCAAACAATCATTTTCTCTTCAGTGAATAATGCCTAGAGGTGTATTATGTTTTTCCATGAAAAATAAAGAATAAAGGAAGAAATGTCCAAAGTTTATTTAGCTGAGGAATATGTTGTTGAGCAAAGTGGGCATATATCAAGCCTCATTGGTGCTCGATTATATTACCTGTACTCTTTTGTTTCCTTAATCTCAATTTTTATTTAGCAAAAAAAAAAAAATATTGTTGAGCAAAGTGGGCTTGGTTAGTTGAATTCCCCACACTGCAAACTCAATCCCAGAGTTTTCAAATTTGTGGACATAAGTTTAGCCGGCCAAACACAGTGTGAAAATCCGTCTTATTCTGAATTTTTCGGTTAGAAACGATCAAAAGCATTGGAATGAACCTTTTCATTGACCAACTTCAACAGAGCCGTTCTATATGTTGGACTATCAAATCCAATTACATACACAAGTGGTTTAGATATGAAATTGGTGACTATTACCTAAACGGAATGGTAGAGCTCATTCTTTAATGCTTTTGGGATACCCAAAAATATATCTATACTAGATTACTTCCTCCACAAACTTGAATGGTAAAGATAGGATACCAACATCATTCTTGTCACGAAGAACATGAAAGAAAAAAAAACAAAAAAAGAAAAGCTTCACTCTTGACACTATTCCCTCCAGGAGATTGAAATTTCAATGGTCTTGGACTTGGATGGGGGAGGCAGCGTCTCTACAACCACGTTCAGTACCCCATTTTTACATTGTCCAGCAATTGTTGAGAGATCGCAATTCTCAGGCAATCAGAACTTCCTCAGCAACTTCTGACGTACTTGCAACCTCACGATGACGGAGACCCCAGTTAAGATTTAAGACGGGGAAAAAACATCAGACTTGATTCACCCGGATGGTTGCAAAAATAAGTCTAGTCTCAATTGGTAGTGACTAATTTGAAAACAGGGGATGCTAACACAAGCTTCCAACTCAAAAGTTCAACAAATGAAGTCTGAGGCACCAGCGTAATCCTAACCCAAAAACCATGGTCCAGGAAGAACAAGATTCCAAACACCCCAACCCCTCCTTCTTGCCCCGGGTGTGCCCTCCGGTATCGATCTATTCGGTTTTTAGTTTTGAGAATCTTCTCCCTAACATAGCATCTTCTCCCCCATCTCATGTAATTGGCTTTGTATTTGAACATTAATGAGGAGTTTATATAATGCAGGACTGCAGCGAATATTGAGGATAAAAAATACCAATGATTAATATCCCATCTTATTTTTCACTTACTATTAAAATCTTTGATCAACATAAATTAGAGTGCGAGTGAATTCTCAACATCTTCTTCTAGTTACAGATTTTTACAAGACATTATTCACATCCTCTCTATCTGTTAGCCTAATTGGAAATAGCCAAATCTTTTCCTGAGCAAACATAGAGAGAGAGATGCGGTGCAATGTTACAGCATTCATTCATCTACTCACCATACCATAAAAATCAGACTCATGACCATGAGAAGGAAAAAAACTGCCAGTGGTGATGATTTTAAATCACTGGAAAATAGTACAGGTAACTCATCCGATGACTAGGTTGTTCTAACCTTAAACATCTTCTGCTTGGCGCCTTTAATGTACCAATCCACGAAAGCCTCAGCTTCATATCGGATCCTGAGAATGCCATCATTACAGAAGCCATATTCTTCAGCTGACAGACACAAAAGCTCCATGAAATCTGCATCACCCAGGGCTGCCGGGTGAACCATAAAACGCTTGGTTTCATCATTCACACCAACTGAAATCACTTGTCGCCACAAACTCTGATAATTCTGCTCAACTTACTGACTTTTACCCCCATAGTTGAATTTTTTCATGTATTGCCCATTGAGGTTGATGTGGAGACAGGCCGAACGTTGGGGAAAGCAGTACAAGGAGGAATGATAGGAAAGGTCCAACGCAGGAGTAGTAGCAGGAAACAGAAGGTTTCATTTGACCATGATGATGTCTCCTCCAACCAGTATTCCCGTATTTCTTTCTACTTGATGGTAATGGTACCATGGCTTAGGCTTAGGATTAATTTGTAGAGCTGATTGTGTAATTTATATAGTCATTGAAGCATGTATTGGGCTATAACAAGGATGATCCAACTAACCTGTCCAATTGATAGCAAAGATGCATATCGTACAGAAACTAATGCTTATTTGTATAATCACGATCACTTAAGAGTATGGAGAAACATTGATGGTTGGAGCCATTGAAATTTACTTTTGTGATCTTTTTCATGTCATGCATTTGGGGTCCTCTCCTACAAATATTCACTACCAAGAAAATTTATACAATTTAATTAGTATCATTCATTCATTGATCACAACCAAGTCAAGTCAAGCAAATGAACAATAATTATAATAGTCCACTGTGAAACCTAACCCCGTTAAATTATTAGATGTTGAAGTATGGGTGATTATGACTCCATGGACTCATAATTCTCAAAGTCTTTGTTGGGACAATTCATCTTTAGTGCAATGCACAAGTTGGTGGGACCAATTTTGAAAATATCTGTCTGTCTGTCTATATTTTTCTTTGGAAAATTGATGTTTCAGCCTCCCATTTTGGGGGCGAATTGCTGGGAAGAGGAAACCTGGACCTACTTTTTTACATATCGATGATGAGATGTGAAGAGAGTTGCTCTCAAAGGGTGGAGAAAATTAATCCTAATCTTTGCCCAATACATAACTGACTTGTCATAATGCGTGCTTGAATTTCTCATATAAAAATTGTTATTATGTTTTGATGCCCTTGAAAAATTCTCATAGAACCCGAGCCAATTTCTTGAAATTTAATTGTTTTGAATTAAATTTTACAAGTTCAAATTAAGTCATGTTTTTAAACAAATATAAAAAATTGTTCAAAATTATCTCATTTAAAATATAAATAAAAATTAAATTAAGTGTTATACGAGTCAATTCTGAACAAAATCTCGATCAAGTTAACTCAATTATCTGCCTCAGCTGCCAGACAAACGAAACGCTTGAGGATGGATGGACCATCCTTATCACGTGACTGTATGTGGGTCCTACTTAACTCTACTTTTAGAAATCTATTTATTATAAAAATAAAAGGGTTTGGCAGATCTGGAAATTCAATCTTATCCCGATGACGTGTTAAAAAAATAATAAAGCGGGGCCAAGCTGTCATTTCAAATGACCAAGTCAGCTTCTCCGATATTATTTCTCTCCTACTCTTACGCCCATCCTTTTTGGATCAGATCTCTCCTCTTCTATTCTCTTCTTCGCTTCTTCGGCTTAAGCCACTCTCTGTTTTACTAATTTTTGGCTGGCTCACTGAATTTTACTACCTTATTTGGGGGCAATTGGGTCTTTAAAAACTGCTTTCTTTTTATAACTTTTTTTTCACTCGATAATTTGACTGGTAATTATGATCCTTTATCCAAAAGGTCCCCAATTTCTTGGAAGTTGGAACATGGAAGGAGCAGATTTTATGGTTGACCATAAAAATGGTCTCATGGACTAAGTGGGTAAATTACTATTTTAAACAAGTTTCTGTTTTTATCAATCCCTATATTTACAATTTTTATAGAATTACTAAAAATTCAAAAAAAAAAAAAGGCTTCCTTTTTATATAAACTTTAGGCTTAATTACCTTTTATCCCTGTAATTTTTGCTAAAACATCTTATTTACTTGATGTTTAAAATTATGCGCACTATTTTACCATAATGTATTAAAGTGAAGTAATTAACGTTATTAACGGAATTAAAAAATTACTATAATATTCACTTTTTAAAATTAGATTGTTTGTCTAATTTACTCTTGATCATAAAATTAATAGAACATGTCAACAAATCAACACATTTCAATCAAATATGTCGAGTCACTGTTTTCCCTCAAGTGAGGTTTTGATCCGAAGGCAAAAATCACTTATATTTTTCTTATATGTTTTTTAATTTGGAACCGATGTCTTACCTATTTGTGTATTATATTATATATATTATAAATGACATTTTAGATAATATTATTTTGGAGGAAAACAATGAAATCAAAACTCACAACATATTTTGGGTATGTGAGGCTCACATCACGTTTTTTAATTAACGTTATTAACGAAATAAAAAAAATTACTATAATATTCACTTTTTAAAATTAGATTGTTTATCTCATTTACTCTTGACCATAAAATTAATAAAACATGTCAACAAACCAACACATTTCAATCAAATATGTTGAGTTTCTTTTTTCCCTCAAGTGAGGTTTTGATTCGGGGGTAAAAATCACTTATGTTTTTCTTATATGTTTTTTAATTTGGGACTGATATCTTATCTATTTGTGTATTATATTATATATATTATAAATGATATTTTAGACAATATTATTTTGGAGGAAAACAATGAAAACAAAACTCACAACATATTTTGGGTATGTGGGGGCACACTCTCCATTTAACTTGGATGATAAAAATAATCACGTTACTTGGATATATAACTAAACGAAATAATGTTCATAATTTTAAACGTCACGTAGATATGATGCTTCTAACCGAAATCACATAAAGGTAAAAAACAATTAACTCTAAACTTTAACTTCACACAAATTTTACAATTTAATAATATTATTTTAATATAATTATTTGATCTAATTTTTTGATTAAATGTATTACAACCACTAAATTTAACTCACTCAACCAATCCAAATTCGTGACCAAAAAAACAAAAATCCGTCTAAATCACACTACTACATAACAATTAGGGGTGTCAAAACTAGTCAGGTTAAACGGTTAGGTGTCGGGTTAAACGGGTGATAAATGAAAAATATATAAACTCATACACGACATGTTTAATAAACGGGTAAAAAATCTCAACATGAATACGACCCGTTTAATAAACGGGTAACACGACACGACTCGTTTAACTCGTTTAATTTTAAAAAAATTATATTAAAAAATTTTAATACTCCACATTTTTTTATTGTCAATTGCACTTATCTCAAAAAAGAGGAATTTTTAGCCAAAACTCATAAAATAAGACTTGAAAGCTTAAAAAAAAAAGTAAGAAGTCATTGCTTTTTATAGGCAACTCAACCCTTCCCATCTCCCCTCATTTTTCAATTTGGGACAAAAACAAAAGATATTAGTTTGCTTTTGTCTTTGAAGTGCTTTTCATCTCCTCTATTTTATCTTTGAACTACTACTATACTTTTTGTTTTTTATTGATTTCTTTTTTTCTTACTAATTTTTTAAATTAATTTTATTTAAACGGGTAAACATGTAATAAACAGTTTAACAAATCTCACCCGAATACGATCTGTTTATTAAATGTGTTTGGCGTTTCAACCCGTTTATCACCCAAACCCGTTTAATTCATGTCAATTAATCGTGTCGTGTCAAAATTTAACAATCCTAATGAAAATGTCATGTCCTTCAACTCACATTTTGGTCATCAATAAATAACTCGAAGAAAAAATACATTACTAATAAAAAATTAAACATTTCAAATGAATAACTACCGCCTATCACCTTATTAGATTTTATTTAAAAAAAGTTCAACTTGTTACCCACAAGCCGTTTTGTTTCAACTTCTTATTCTCATTGGGTTTCCATACCATGACAGCGTCACATGTGCGTTAAACTCGTTAAAAATTTCTCCATATAAATTTCAGAAAATTTTGATGGCTCAATCTGTCTCCATCCTTTGAGGTTCATCTTTTAAATCAGTTCAATGGCTTCAAGCAAAGCCATGTAACAGGAGCCAAACAAAAGCCATCAAAACCAACCGCATATCTCTCTCTCTCTCCTCTATAAGAACCCCATGGTCCTCCACCCCTCTCGAAGAGACTCTCTTTAGATAAATCCAGACATCTTCTCTCTTTCGTTTCGCTTCCACCCTACCTTTGTAACAGTCGTATCAGGTGGTGCCACCACCGTTGTATACACAACTACGACCACCTATTTCGGTTGTTACAAAAGAAGAAGAAGGCATCATCATCATCATCAACAAACAACAACAACAACATCATGGGATTCCTCCACAAGCTCTGGGATGACACGCTTGCCGGCCCCGCACCCGACACCGGCCTAGGCAAACTACGAAAGTACAACTCTTTCTCTGCCGCCAGATCTTCTGCTCCACCTTCCACCGTCACTCCTAATGAAACCCCCATAACTCGGAGCATTACCCTTCTCAGAACCACCTCGGCCATCTCAGCCGGTTCCGGTTCTGTCCCAGCTTCACCGGCTGGTTCCAGCACAACCACTTCCCCTTTTTCACGTAATTAACTTCGTTTCGGTTATGTTTTTGAATGAAAGTTTTTGGTTCTTGGGGTTTGTAATGATTATGTTCGTGGGTGTTTATTGTGCGCAGCGAGCACACCCCGTGGAGATTTCAAGAAATTTACGAGAAGAAAGCCGACTCCAGAAGCATTACAACGAGCGGAGCCTGGAGGTCCGCCAACCGGCTACGATTGGTAATTTTAACACGATAATTACTTAAAATTACTCGAGATTTGCATTGAATTTCGTATTAATCTTCTGCATGACATACCGGTGTTTGCTCTGATCCATATATTTCAAGGGGTTTGACTTTTGCAATGATTAAGTCAAGAAATGATGTGAAAAATTTTGGGAAACTACAAACAAGAAAGTACACCTAAATGAACAATTCTAAGCTATTGTTGTTGGATTCGAAAAACCGTGAAATGGTTGATTGGTTTTTTAGATGGATTAATACAGCACAGGTTGTAATTGCTGTCATCTTGTCGTTTTGATCTCTATGTTTTTACTAACATATAAGAGATACATGTGTTGCAGGATTGTGATGAGTGCTTTGGATCGGTGAGAGAGGAATATTTGACGATTTTGTGTGAAGAAACACCAATGAATGAGAGACATGTTTTTGTACATAGAGAACCTCGAGGGGATCATCTGTTATATATATATTTATGTATGTGTATATGTATATGATGTGGTTGTGCGTAGGCATATGAGTGCACTATAATCTAAGGACTACAACAATAAAATGGTTCTGATGAACAAAATCACCACCGCAGGAACCATTGCTTCTTGGAGTTTCCGACAGGGGAAAGTAGTAGGAGAGCTCACTTTTGAGTCTTGTTTCCTCCATTTGAATGGAGTGATGGTTTTCTTTTCTTTTTTTTTGGTATTTCTTTTTTATATTGGTCTTCTTTTTTCTTCTTTTTTTGGGGTTCTTGATCTTGTATTTGAGTTTTTCCTTGTAAATATGTTGTGTATACCCCATCCCATCCTCTTTAATGAAACCCACATGAAGCTTTTGTCAATCATCTTTAATTGTTTACCTGTCATGCTACTCTCTCTCTCTCTCTCTCTCTCATGTGGGTCTGGGTTTGTTTGCGTCCATATATCTTAATTGGAATACAGCAATGACACAACTATAATTGATGGTATTAATTACCAAATTAATGTCACTCTCCATATAGATGGTTTGTTTTCCGTCCTCAAAATTTGAAGAGAAAACTTGCATTTATTTTTTCCCCTTAACTGGGAAGGAGAATATGAAAAAAAACATAAAAATGACGTTCGGCTCAACAAAGTCTCAGGCTTGATTGAAACAAAAACCACAAATAAGGGCATGAAAAAGCAGAAACAAAAATCGTCATCAGGCAGAGGGACACTTCCTTAGCTAATTATGCTGGCTTGTACTAG